CAAAAAAAGGGGGGGGGGGGGGTAATTATATTTATCTATAATAAAATTATAAATGTATTTTATTTATAAATAAATACTTATTTGAAAAAGTAACTCTTATCTTCTTGTACATTAAAAAGTAATGCGGTACTTTAGTTACTTAAAGTAATCTGATTACTTAACTTGCATTACTTGTAATGCGTTACTCTGAACACTGGTAAATCTGTATATGTGCGAATCAGATTTTTGTCTATATCAGGGGTCACCAAACTTGGTCCTGGAGGGCCGGTGTCCTGCTGAGTTTAACTCCAACCCTAATCACACACACCTGAACCAGCTAATCAAGGTCTTGCTAGGCATACTTGAAATGTCCAGGGCTGCATTTCCCAAAAGCATCGTAAGCTTAAGTACATCGTAGACCCATTGAAACCTATGGAGCTACGATCAACTTGGGCTTAATGATGCTTTTTGGGAAACGCAGCCCAGGCAGGTATGTTTAGGCAAGTTGGAGCTAAACTCACTGAGTATCGTGACCCCTGGCCTATATTGTTAGGGGCAGACTTCTTTCCCCACAGAGAAAACTTGCACAAAAAATTTGAAAACGTGGAAATGTATGGTTTAGCAGATCAACAATACTGGCTCAGTATAAAAACAATAAAAGTCAATGGAAATTCTCCACTATGGTAGAAAAAAACATGTTTGTGTTGCACTCTGAGCTATATTGTTGCATTTTTGTGTTATATTGGTTTTGAAAAAGGAAGCAAAAGAATCTCAGACCTGTTCCAGAGTAACGCAACAGGATCTGATACTTGTATGGTCTGTAATGCAGTTTTCTAATCCCTCGTCCCAACCCCTCAGAATTGCTTTTATGTTGCAGACTTGTACTATATGGCCTTGTGTTGAACTGATTAATAACTTTTAGATGGATAATGATGTCTTCCGTCTGTATAACACTATACAGTAGGTACAGTATACAGTAATGCAGGGGTCACCAGACTCTGTCCTGGAGGACTGGTGTCTAGTGGTGTTTTGCTCCAACTTGCCTAAACACACCTGCCTGGAAGTTTCAAGTATACTGAAACTTCAGGTATGTTTGATTAGGGTTGGAGCTAAACTCTGCAGGACATTGGCCCTCCAGGACAGAGTCTGGTGGCCGCTGCAGTAATGGTACTATAATGTGCGCACTGCAAGTCTGAGCATTATTTGTGCAGTCAAAATCATTTTGGCCAATGGTTTAAATATCAGCATGTTGAAGTGGTATATATATGGTTGTTGTGTAGACGGTGCAGTTTGTCACCTGTTGACTATGTGAATTAGTAGTACCTGTATAAAATAAAGCAAATCTCAATGAAAACTCTGTAGCTGAAGCATTCTGGGGTGCGTTTCCCAAATGCAACTATGGTCGCAAGTTCCGTCATTACCAATAGAGTTCGATGGAATTTACCACCATAGTTAGCTAACGATGCTTTCGGGAAATGCACCCCTGTTGTGTTGAACTACTGTGGTTCATTCTTTCTTTGTGATACTCCAGTCCTGTTT